AGATAAGGTTTTATTTAAGAAAGTGTTTCCTTTTGAGCTGAAAATTTGATAGATGGTGTTGACAAAACTGTCATGGGCTTTAGCAGTTGGATTTCAAGGAGGGATTTATGAAGCCAAGCAAAAAGCTAATGCTGCTATTTACAACCAATTATTGGCATGGATTCACTTTTTGCTTCAAATGTTTTAAAATATATAGTGAGGATCAATCAATAGTCATCTATCGATCTGCAGGAATGACTTGTCACTTGTAGTTACCATAAATATCTTATACAACAATACAAATTCTTATTTATCAAAGGCGATTTTCTCTTTTTTTTTATTCAATCAAGTTATGTTATTACTAAAAGCCTCAGTTATTAATTAATCATATAAGAATTACAAGAAAAATGGATACATCCATATAAAAAAATATGTATTTATTATGTCATAATAAGGAAGACATCTTTTTTTTTCTTATATTTAAATTAAAAGCATTGGTCATAAGCATCTTGGTAGAAAGATAACAGAGATTTCCTTCTTTTGTCTGTTTTTTTTTTCTTTTGGAGAATCATATGGAAGAGAGAATTTTAGAATGAACAAGTTAGAAAATATAATAAAAAAGGCTGGCCATATGATAATGTGATTGAACTAGCCAGAAGTCTCTTTGGAAATGAAATGGCAGCCCATGGAAAAAGGTCTATGAGGGCCTCTGTTAGTATTGATTAAATTGGGATCCATCTCAGCCCATGAAGTACTTAGAAGATCTCTAGACAACCTAGAATCTAAACGCAAAACCTCAAATTAGAAGTGAGTAAAAGTCCATTAAAATCGATTTAATTGAAAAAAATAGGTTAATTTGACTACATAAATTTTAAATTAATTAATCAAATTAATCATCTTAGTGTACATATATATATATATACCATTTTTAAAGGTAAATCTTTCATGTATCTCACTCAGACAATTTCTCAATACTTATATATAAATTTAAAATTTAGATTGTATCAAACAAATAAAAAATAGGACATAATTTCATTATTATTATTTTGTTGATTTCAAATTTCATTTATTTATTTTTATGTATATAAATATATAATCCATCTCAACATTCAACTTCCTTCCTCTCAAAAAAAATTCAAATTCCCAATGCAACAAAAAAAAATCCATTTATATTTTTATCAATCTTTATTTAAACATTTATATCTTTGATATACTTTTTTTTTAATATCATTGATGTACTTGCAAAAAACACTTATAAAAAATTAAACATAATGCGAAACAAATATTATTGCTTTTTTATCAAAATTTATTTAGTTACAAAATATGTGACCATCATTTCACTTAAAATTTTTTATTAATCATTTTTTTGAACAAATTATTTACAAAAATTAAAAAGTACTTACAAAAAATCTAAATGAGTAATTAATTAATTAAGAACTATTTATTCAATTCTTATTATCTGTTGATCTTTTAAACTAAGATCCCTATATTTTACATTAGGATAATTTTAATCATATGTTAAGAATTAGGACTTTAATCAGTCAACCAAATAAGATTTATAATTGGATAGTTTAACATCTTCTATAGTAGCTTTTATTTAAAAATTTCTATGTATCTTATATTTATCCAACATTATATATCTTGTGTTAAAAAAATTTTAATTTCTTATTTAATTTAGATTGAAAATTAAAATTTTGACAAAAAGGTATTAGTGCATAGCGTATACAACATACTTTGAGTAATCATTCTAATAATTTGAAACTTCAAATGAGAGTATTGGTCTTTAATTTGGAAGCCAGAGACCACAATTAATAAATTTAATTGAATTGGAGATTATAAATAAAAAAAGTCAATATTAAAATATTAAATTAATATAAATAATTAAATAATTAAATGGTGACCGATGAATTTATATCAGCCTTTTCAAAAATGAATCTATATAAGTCATTAATATATATATATATATAAATAACATGCATTAGAACATTATTAGTGATATCAACTTTATATTATAAAGTATAAACCCCTAATATATAGAAACTTTTCAATCCTTCCTCTCTTAAGATATTCTTGAATTTGATAGTGGAATAAATTTTACTTTACTATGTAAAAAACTTATGCCATTAACTGATTTTATTTTAATATGAAAATGATTTGTTTTATTTTAATATCAAAGAAAATTTGTATTTTTTTTTCAAAATAATCTTGTTAATCATAAAAAAGACATAATGCTAATAATTTTTAAAAATAGACTATTAAGTAAATTGAAATTTTAAAAAATTTTAATAGATAAAAAGAATTCGATTGAGTCTGTTAAATCCAAATTAATCAACTAAAGCCAATTAATCAGATGCAACCTCAATTGTTTTAATTAAATCCCCCAACAAAATCGATTGAGTCAATTTATAGAATTTTTTGACCGATTTAATTGATTGTTGACTCCTACTTGTAACAAAATTCATGTGTTATCCTCTTGCTTTCAAGAAAAATGAATGCATAATAATTTTATAAGTAAGCTTTAAATAATTTTGAAAGCTATAAATTCTTTTTATGAGAATTAAAACTGTAAAGAATGTTTAGCAAGCCAATCATTATTTATGGATTTATGGGATAAGATTCCAATCTACCTCTCCACTTAAGACCATAGATTAGAATTTTCACTTATTTAATTCGATTAAAATATAATCAAAAGTTAACGGCAAAAGTATATTTTACATAATATGTTAACTTTTGACTATTTTTGAATCAATTAGAAAGTATATTGGTAATATTGCATTTATTTAAAGAAAATTTATAAATTTGATCCACCAAACTAAGTAAATTAATAAATTCAGATCTTATTCTAAAATTTATTTGCTAGAATTGGCCTTTTTATATAAGTAAGCTCTTTTGTTTAACATAAAAATTTTTAGTCACATATTTAACCATATAAATCCTACCATTTGAAAAATTGATTTGACTTCCCCTTCTCGAAATTTTTTATAAAACATACTACTAATAAAAAATTATTATTCTATACATTATTGGTGAAGTTTTTAAATTTTACGAGGAGTTAAGATGTTATGATATGTTTTTTTATTTATTAAATTAATTAATTAATTTTTTAAATATATTATAATGACTTGTAGAATTTAAAAATTTCTCCAAAGGTATATAAAATAATTTTCTCTAATAAAAAGAAAATGTCAAAATATCCACTAAGTTCTTATACTTATGTATTTTATTTAATTTAGTTCTTATACTCAAAATCGAAATAATTCAATTACTTGATTTTGAAAACTGTTTCAATTTAGTCCCTTTTCAATATCTAGTTTCTTCGTTAAAAGGATAACATCAACTTTGATGTGGCAACGACATGATGAAATAACACTAATGTGATGACGTAATAATATCATGTGGCATTGATATGATGAGGCGGTAATGCTGATGTGATATTGATAAACTGACACATTAGTGCCATATGACAATGTTGACGTGGTAAATTAAAAAAAATAAAAAAAATCTATGCTATGTTATAAGAATTAAATTGAACAAAAATCTATAATATAAGTATTAAATTGAACAAAATTGAAATGTTGACAGGTCAAATTAAAAAATATTTGAAAAATATTAATATTTAAGTAGATGATGCATATATTTATTAATAAGTCAAATGTTTATGTATAGAAGATTTATGATGTTAAAAAATATAAATAAATATTTTTTTACTTTATTATTTGATTCTAAAATAAATATATTAATTTATTTATTTGCAAAAATTAAGTTCAAAATTAATATATTTATTTTGACATGATGACGTGGTTTTCAATCTTAATTTTTGTAAAGAGATAATATATTTATTTCGAAATCAAATAATTAAATAAAAAAATATTAATTTATATTTTTCAACAACATAAATCTTTTACATATAAGCATTTGACTTATTAATAAACCTGTGTATTATCTACTTAAATATTTATATTTTTTAAATATTTTTTTAGTTCAATCTCTCAATATCTTAATTTTCTTCAATATAGTTTTTCTACTATAGATTTTTGTTCAATTTAGTTCCTATAATGTAGCACAAATTTTTTTTTTTAAAAATTTTTTTCTTAATTTTTCACATGGCATCGACATATCAACTTGTCACCACCACGTGGCACTATCATGTCATCGCATTGGTGCCATGTGGTTACATCACGTCATCATGTTAATGTCATATCATCAAAAGTGCCACATCAACACCACATCAACACTAACATCATCCTCTATAACAACAAAATTGATTGTCGATAGAAGGAAGAACTAAATTGGAGTAATTCTCAAAATCGAAAGATTAAATTATTTTAATTTTGAATATATGGATTAAATTGAATAAGATACATAAGTATAAAGACTTAGTGGGTATTTTGATCAATAAATATATGTATCATCTACTTAAATTTTTTTCTTAATTTAATCTCTCAACACCTCAATTTTGTTCAATTTAACTTTTATTTTATAGATTTTTATTCAATTTAATCTATATGATGTGACACAAATTTGTTTTGAAAAAATTTTCTCTTAATCTGTCACTTCAACATTGCCATGCAACACCGAATGTTATCTTGTCAATGCCATGTTATTATATCAAAGTCACATGGTATTGTCACATTATTATGTCAATGCCATGTCACTAAAATGTGTTACACTAATGTTGATATTATCCTTTTAATAGTAAAATTAAATATTATTAAAATAATTAAATTAAAATAATTTTTAAAATTAAAAAATTAAATTACTTTGATTTTAAATATAAAAACTAAATTGAACAATCTATATGAATATTGAAACTTGGTGAATATTTTGATCAAAAGAATAATCATAATACTGACAAGAAGTTGGACATTTTAGACATCTTTGGGCTTTGTTGGGCCACGGACATTTGAATTGGAGCGGTTCGGTTCAAAATCTACCAAATTTCTAAAACCCTGCCCAGAGCAAAAATTGAAAATCCTGTCCTTTGTACTTCCCAACCCCCCCAAAACCCTTTCCTTTCCACCATGCTTTCTCGTCTCCTCCCCAAACCTTCCATTTCCGTCTTCTACCCCTCCTGTCCTCAAAATCCCAACCATATCCCTACTCCCTCAGCACCCTCCCATTTCCCTCCCCCGTTTCCTCTCAACCAATCAAAACAATAACAATGATAATAAAAAAGATCAACCGTTTTCCGATCCATGGAAATTTTCCCCAGAAAATGACGGGAAATTCGACAGTCTCTTCTCCGATAAGTCCGGAACCCTCGCCGGATTCTCCGGCTTCACCGAGTCTCCTACGGCCGCAGGTGAGGAAGACGGTGGTGCTGGAAAGAAGAGTGGAGAGAGGATTGGTTGGTTGGAGAGAAGATAAAGCGTGGAGCTTTGGAGAGGAAGAGAAAGGTGATGGCGGTGTTTGATTTAAAAGGTTGACGGATTTTGTTGAACCGGAGGTGAAACTAGTGTTGCCAAGAGTGATGATAGTGTTGAGGAGCAGAAGAATTTTGAAGAAGAAGAGAAGCAGCTCACTGCCGTACTCAAAGGCAAGCTTCCATTTTTTTAATAAAAAATAGATTCAATAGCAATTTATTGTTGTTATGTTTTTTATCGGATTGGAAGGATGAAATAGTAAATTTAGGCGTAGTTTGGCATTGCGGTTAAAACATAGAGTGAAAATGTTGCGATTAGGATAGGTAGGAACTTACTTTTGCCATTGAGATCAAACTCATCGTAATTGGCAAATTTTATATTATTTAGAATAGCATTTGCAGCAAAATTCAGCGAGTGTGATCATACATGAATCAAATTGCAATGCCTAATTGGGCCTTTGTATAATAGCAGGAAGAGTAGGATGAGAACTGAAATAAAAAAGGAAAATTTTTATAAATTATGGCCTTGGTGTCCTTATTGTGAATCAAGGTGCTGGCTACTTGTTTACCTTGATTTATCTTTGGGGTTAAGAGGAAGATTATACCCTTTTGCAGGTCCGAATCGTGCATTTGGTGACCTTATTGCAGCATCCGGTATCACAGATGCGATGCTTGACAGTTTGATTGCTCTGAAGGACTTTGAAGGGGTTGAGGGATTGCCACCTTTAAACGTTTTAGAAGATATGCGATATGAAAAGAATACAAGGAAATCCATGAGAGCTGAAATAGAACTCCAGAAGATGGAGGAAATTGCCAAAGCAAGAGTAAGACAAGTAGACGATAAGGGAAGGGCTTATGGTACTGGGAGAAGAAAATGTAGTGTAGCTCGTGTTTGGGTTCAACCTGGTGATGGGAAATTTATTATCAATGACAAACAATTTGATGTCTACTTCCCAATGCTTGATCATCGTGCTGCTCTTCTTCGGCCATTCTCTGAAACAAAGACCTTAGGCCTTTGGGACATTAACTGCACTGTTAAAGGAGGTGGTGTTACAGGCAAGCTTAATTCCTTGAACTTACACTTCCTTCCTTCCTCTAAATAATAATAACTGTCTCTTTAATAGCAATCTCTCTAATTTATTTGTTTAACACTTGAGTTTCTCTGATTTAAAGTTTATGCATCACCACTGTTACATGAATATTAAGCTGGAAACTTTAAAACATTGGTTTTGGTCATTATATTTTACTTGGCCAGGCTGCTTTATCAAGAATAAGAAAAAAGTTATGCCTAAAGAAAGAGAGCAGTCTTTAGTATTTCACCCTGTTGATCTGGCATTGAGCATGTTTGTTACAAAACTAATACAAGTGATTGTATGGATATATTTTCACGCTTTTTAACTTGTTGGGACCAGCCATGGAGAAATGGGATTTTGCAAATATTTTTAGGCATGCTTTATCCTCTCAAGTTGTATAGATAGCAATTGCATTACTTATTTTCTGCAAGAGTGAAATATGTTTGACATGTGTTTAATACTAGTTTTTTGAATGAGGGTAGACATTTTAGTTTCTATTTGAAACAAGTCAAATTATTAAGTATACAATCTAAATATGTTTAATCTAATGAAAGATTAGTTAATGTGTTGACTTGGCATACTACATGTCTAGTTGCAGCCACCTCAAATCCAACCTGCAACCAATGGCCATAACTTGTTGGCACTGCATGAACTCATGTCAAATGGTGGCAAAATGCCACCGCAATGACACTTTACATGATAAGTGTTAACTAGCTGAAGGCCTTTCTGGTAAGTTGATTATTGTCTGTAAATAGAGCTTAGTGAGGTTTGGCTAATACGAGCTTCATTTTTTTCTCATTTAAAAATTTGCCAGGAGGCTGGCCTCACCTTCTTACATGTTAGACAACTTCTTAGAAATACTTTCCCTTCCAGATTGAAATTTGTATAACACCCTTCTATCAGTTTTCGTATGCTATAATATAACTTAGTTATGCGGTTGAGCTGATGAGGTTTGAACAGTTAGTCTGGTCTTCATGTTTCATTTTGCAACGTTATGGAGTTCATTGGCTGTTGAATCTTGAAAACTGGATGCCACCATAGCCCTACTGTACTCAAGATATCATCTAGAGAGTGGCAAACTTTGATTTCAAGTATAGTGGTCTTTCCGTGGACGGTGTTAAGGAAAACTCATCTAATAGATACCTTCATTACCTTAGTTAGCTTAATTTTATATTTAACAGTCTAATGCCCTTTGCCTAAGTTGAAATTTAATGCTTTATAAGTGCTTTGTTGCACTGTTGACTTTAGTTTTCTTCCTTCTAAGTAAAGCTGACTATCTGCTTGTGACAGGCCAAGTGGGAGCAATTCAGTTGGGAATCAGTAGGGCATTGCAAAATTTTGAGCCAGAGCTACGTCCTCCACTCCGAGCAGGTATTACCTCTTTTAGGATTGTGCATTATTGTATTTTGGTCATTTACACTCCATCAATCCATTTTTAGGTTTTGGCAAGGCCTTTTTAATCATAATCTTCATTATTACATTTTTTTTTTATCTTATGAACATGTTTACTGAAAAGGTCATGTGTTCTACCAGCCGGTTTCTTGACAAGGGATCCACGTGTGGTGGAAAGGAAAAAACCAGGGAAGGCAAAAGCAAGGAAGAGCTTCCAATGGGTCAAGCGTTGATCAGCTGTTGTGTGCCTGCTTTTCTGTGCTAGTAATTTCTCAGGGACCTTTTTAGGCTTATTGTATTTTTGATGAGAAGGGAATTTTAATTTTGCCATACTGCAGTAATTTCTTTCATTCATAAGGTTTGGTGTTTGCATTGTAACGTAGCTTGTAATCTAGTTCTCCCAACTTCAGTAGGAGCAGAGTTAGGAAGATTTTACTTGACCATGAAATATGTTTGAGATATTGGCCCTTTCTATTTTTTTTGGGGAAAGAAGGAAAAATCTGTTGACATCTCATGGTGTTTGATGCTCTGCACGATATAATATGCTAATATTTCCAATAGTCAAATATCATTCGCTGGGCTTTTCAAGAAAATTTTACCTTTGTCTACAATTGGAGATTTCTTCCCTTTTTTTTTTTTACTTTAAGAAATTGAAAGTAAATTTGAATATTTGTTGTAGAAAGGTTGGTAAAAAAACCAAGGAGCAGACAAGAATATTAAAATTGATGTCGATTATCTGAGGTGCTCGGATAAAAACTTGAATCTCGCAACCTAAATTAATTATATAAGTTGTTTTGATTTATATTTTTATTTATTTAGTTAAATTTTAAATTTTTATTGTTAGGTCAAAATTTTATTTTTATTTCAACTAATTATCATTTGATAAAATGTTATTTGTTATTTTAAGTAATATGATATTGATTTACATATATATTAATATGTATGTCATAATAGTTAATGATGTGATATGTTGATGAATTATGATTATATAATTATATAATATTTTTTATGTTTACGTTAATATAAATTAATAAGTAATGTTTAGATAAATCATAATTAATTAATGTTAATAATAAAGATTTATTTAACATAAGAAAATAGAGAATTTATTAATTTTTTAAAAAATAGTTAAAGAGTTTTTTAATTTTTTAAATTTATTTTTATAAAAAATAAAAATATTAATTAAAAAGAATTTTAATTAATTTATATTATTTGGGATACTGGACTTATTTATAATCATTCCTAATTGTAAGAGTCAGACCATTCTATTATGCAATGTAAGTTTAAAAATATTAAATATTTTACCATGGGGATTAAGAAATTAATATAAAGGCTTTAATTTATTGGACATCTTAAACCAAAAAATAGAATTAACAAAATGGTATTGGGATTATCTTTGAAATTTTATTAGTTACTAAATAATTAATTAATAAACACTTGAGTATTTAATTTATTAATAATGTGTTATTTCTTTCAAGATTTGAATATTTCTTCTTTAATTATTAAAAAAAAAACTAATTAACTAACGAGGCTGAGGAGTCGTATTTCTCAGACTAAGACCGTTAGGTGTAGTGGAAGAAGTAACTCGCTTTTCCTTCCACGATTCAAAGCCAGTTCTTTAGATTCGATAGCGGGAGGCTAACCAAAACAAGAATAAGAGCAGTAGAATTTTGTTCCCGAAATCCCACAAAAGAAATGTTGAATTGCCCAGGTGTTTTATCTTCTCTATCTCTTCGATTCTGCTAATTACTTTGTGGTTTGAAGCGAGTCAGTCTCTAGGATTTAATTAGGGGTTTTTTTTCTATCAATTCAATTGAAAACCCTAAGTTAATCAATTCATGTTCAATTCGCAGTCTATTAATCTTTCAAATTTGTGAATTGTGAGATTTTTCCCTTTAAGAATTACTATCAAATCTAAGAATCGTCATTTTCTATTCATTTTTGTATTTCCTCTTTCTTTATTTAATTTCTTTTCAGAGCCGTGGAAATGAAAGAAAAGAACACAATCTCTCCACTTAGGCGCATTTTAGTGAATTGTACGGCACAGGTTTGTCGATAAGTACTCACCTTGACCTTGTACTACTGCCTGTATCATTAGGATTATGCTTTAAATATTTAGTAAGTGAGGTTGAAAATAAGCAAAAATGTGATTGCGGAAAGTCGTTTTGTTGAACCTGCTGTTTAGTGAGTGTTTGTTCTGCTTGCACTTGGTTCCTATTCTTTTTTATTTTTAAATTGAAGCAACGTCTTTGCAGGCAAGAGAATACGGGGCCTGTGTGGCAGCTAAAGTTCCGGAAGTTGAACACAATATGTGTTTGAAAGAATTTCTTGCCCTAAAGACTTGCATGCAGAATACGGTATCCATATTGCTTAGAAATACACTTTTATGCATTAAAAGAAAGAAGGATATTTGCAGTGCATAATCCCTTTTGAAAAAGCTGCACTTAGCATTAATGTTTTCTACTTTTTTTGTTTATAGCTCCGGGGAAAGGTCTAATGTTTGGATCCTTGGAGGAAGTTGTTCAAACTTTGTATAAGACGGTGAATGCAATGAACTTTTCCTTCTTTTTTTTTTTTTAATGCTAGTCTTTAAGCTCGATACATTCTTTCTATTGTACTCATACTATCCTTTTGTGCTTCAGTAGTTTTATTATTCTCCAGCAATTTGGGTTTTGAGGTTAAAAAACTCAACATAACCTTAGGAAAATGGCTGGGAAAGCATCAAGCTCTCAAGCCAGTGTTGGTGGTTTAGGATCGGGAGCTTTGTCGCATGTTTTCATACAATATCCCCCTCTACGTTGCAACATTCCTGGATCAAGAGGTTTCTATTATGATGATGGAAATAAGTTGCTTATCTCTCCTACATCTGATCAGGTTTTATAGTTCTGAAGTTAATAAGTGTGCTTGAATTTTGTTTGAGCTTGGCAGATCCATATTTTACTTTTCTTATTTGCCTTTCTACCCAGGTCTTTTCATGGAAAATTACTCCCTTTTCTCCACTGGCTGCCTCTACCACTGATTCAATAGGTGAAGGGCCTATCTGCTCCATCCGGTTTTCTCTAGATGAAAAGTTTATAGCAGTCCAACGATCCAACATATTGATACAATTTTGGCATAGAGAAACAGGGGAAAGTTTCACTCACGGGTGCAAGTCCGAGTCGGAGAATATCCTGGGGTTTTTCTGGACAGATTGTCCGTCATGTGATATTGTAGTTGTAAAGACCAGGTAGGGGGAGGCTTCCTGTCCATTTTACATATGTATTGGATAATGATTTTGTTCTTGTGAACATCTTAAATCTTGATATGGTGTGTAAAATTCAGCTTCAACTGAGATATGATATTTTGGACAAGGAATTCAATTTCATATAATAGCAATGTTATGCTGCCTCTGAATGCTTACTTCACGTTCACTTGGATGCCTAATATATAAAATAAACATGGTTTGTAATATTTACAAGAAATTTAATTAGTCTACTGACTTGCAGATTTTTCTCTTTTTTTTTTTTACAAGAGGGAGCACTGCAGCTTAAACTTAGGATCTCTATTCAAATCCCACCCAACCCTTAACACTGGAACAGGCAGAATTAGCAACTTTGGAGTTACCTACTAGTTAGCATGCATCTAATAGATGTTATTATCACCTAATGCACATCATTTTATCATACCTGGAATCCTCTTGTAGCAATGGATGGACTCTTTCAGGCCATGCAGCTAGGTAAAGAACATTTAGAACTTTTGTATCAGCCATTGGCATTGTATGTTTTCTTTTGTTATTGATGCATGGAACTGTGCTGACTTTGCTGCATGACCAACACAAATATAATGATATGAAAGAGAGAGAGGAAAACTATTATCATTTTGGCAAATTATTCATCATTACACATTTTTTATCAGTTTCCCCTGGGGAAGAGAACAATTTATGTAACTTATACTTGGGGAGATACCACTATAGCATGGATCCGGAATAAGAAGTTCCCAACCCCAGAATCAACAATTTTTACTGTTAAATTTAGTTTGGAAACTTAAATGCATTGTACATCCAACATCATCAAGTCAACCTCACAAGATTTGCCATCATTGTTCATGTTATTGAGTAACAGTCATCTATCCTTGACCTTTTTGAGTTATGTAGGGTATACTTATTTCTATTTTTCCTCTTCATGTTTCTACTTTTATTTGCACCAAAGATTTATTGTGTTCAATTCACTGAAATGGAATTTAATCACAGTGGGTTGGACTTGTTTGCTTATGACTATGCCTCAAAGTCACTTGCCTTGGTGGAGGCAAGGAAATTAAATGTGAGTTGGTATGTCTACACTCACGAGAGCAGATTGGTTCTTCTTGCTTCAGGGATGCAGTGCAAGACATTCAATGGATTTCAGGTATGGCTACGAGCTTCAGTATTTGCTCAATTTTCTAGAAATCCTCTTAGAGCTTGTTTGGCTTGGCTTTTTTTTTTTAGCTTAAACGTTATTATGAAGCTTTTATGAAAAATTATAACTTTCAAAATTAAGCTGAAGTTGTTTGGTAAATTTACTTTTATAAGCTTTTTTTATAGATAAGCAGTTTGGTAAAACAACTTATATAAGCTCTAATTTTGATTAAAATTACCATAAAGCGTATTTGATAAATAACTTTCTAGTAGTTTGTTTGGCTTGGCTCTTTTTTTAGCTTAACAGCTATTATGAAGCTCTTATGAAAAATAATGACTTTTAAAAAAGCTAAAGCTGTTTGGTAAAGTTACTTTTATAAGCTTTTTTTTATTGATAAACTGTTTGGCAAAACAACATATATAAGCTCTTATTTTGGTGAAAATTACCATAAAGGATATTTAATAAATAACTTTCTAGTAGTTAGGGCCTTCTGCTTTTTTTGTTACTAATAGTCTTTGCGAAGAGAGGTAAAGGAGAGGGAGATCACGATTTGCGTTGGAGAGGGGTGATTTGCAGAGAGAGGGAGAGGACAAGGAGATTGATTGAGAGAGGGATATTTTTTGAGAGGGTAACGTTGGGATTATTTTTAATAGATGAGAATATTTGTAGAACAAAAATAAAAATTCTCTTGAAAAGCTGGCATGTTTTTAAAAGAAGAGAAGAGAAAGCTCCTCTAGCTTCTCTAGAGCTTTTCTGAGGCTCTTTTTTTTTCTTTTTTTGTAGATTTTGTTTTTTAAAAAAAAGTTATTTTTTTTAAGAGTTCTCAAAATCTCGTTTAGCTCGACTTTTACTTTTAAGAGGTAGATAAGTTGAAAAAAAGTCAGGCCAAACAGACACTTAGGCTAGGCTCTAATTTGGCTGGGCTATGCTTGCTCTGTGCAAGAAAATAAACTTAGAAATTGGTTTCAGAGGCTACATGCAAGAAAATGGTATTAAAAAATTGCACTTTTTGCAACATTTGGTTAACTTTATGACACTTGCAAAAATAGAGATTGATCATCTACCGAAGTTGACATGAAAATGTAGTATTAGAGTGATGGTCCCTTATGAAAAGTGATCCTGTTATTGTGGTTACT